ATATAGAGAGAGAGAGAGAGAGAGAAAGAAATAGAAAGAGTCTAGTAGATACACCAAGAACAAAACAAATTAGTCACATGTCCAAGCATATAAAGGGTAATGTAATCTCATACGCGGTGGGAGGCCTGTTATTCCTTGTATTTTCAAGATTTGTAGTGCCGTCAGGTTGCCGAATGTATCAGGATGGAATGAAGAGCTACTGAAGGCGTTCCTGTAGTTGAAAACGCAAAAGTTACATTTTCTTTCTTCTATCGTGTACTGTAGTACGGCATGCGGTATAAATTCCTCGCCAATGTATGTTGCTTAGCCAAGGAATATGATAATATATAGCAGAAACAAAAATGTTTCGTTTGAATGTGGCAAGGACTCGTTAAATGCACATAGTACAGCGGTAAATTAAAGGATGCATTTTTCTTTCAAAAGAACATTGAACGCATGAAGTAATTTCTTAGCTATATTAAAATCGTTACGTTATGTTATAATTGATAAATACCTTCGTAGGTTCAGAGATGTCAGAGAAGGTAGGTTGTCAAAAGCAAAAGGTTGGAAAGTTTGAATCAGATTTTGTCCGAGATGCAGCATTTCCAGAGACGGCAATCCTGTAAAAACACGACAACAGCGTCACTAGATGCAAAAACAAACAGATGAGTTCTGCTGCAGTACCAAGGATAGACCCGACCATCGTCTGACATGGCCTAACCACAAGCCATCACCAAAATCTATCAACTGCTTCTTGAGTTATGCTGACCAGTTGGTGTAAAATGTTTGAAAAAAAAAACCCACAATGCCTCACAACAAAATCTTTTCAACCAGTCTTTGATCAAATTCAAATGGTACTTAGAAATGATTCCGACAGATCTTTTTCTAGGTATTTGCAGATAAATATAATGAATAAATGTTTAGTACAATCGAGTATGTTACAGACGGTCGTAGTATATGAATAGTAGAATAGTAGTAATGGGGACCCCTCCATAGTTCAAAGAACATTTTATTGTCTCTAGCTATCTCTTTGACTACAGTCTTGAAAATAACCGTAGATACTTAGTAATTGCAAAAGCTGGATTTGCAAACCATTTATATATTTATTTATTTATCTTAAAAGACAGTTGGGTGGTACCTTCAGTCTCTGAAAGACTGATTTCCAAGGTAGCCCAACAGTACATACACATTGGACAACATGGAATACAATAAAATTAAACAAAATAAAACAGATTAGTCAAATGATCAAACGTAGCAAAGGACAATAAACAGAGGGTACAAATAATCAATCATACAAACACAACGGAACAACCAAAACAAATAGTCAAAATCGTTAGGCATAGTCGTATTGTCAAATAATGACAGTCGGTTGTCCGTGAGGTCAGGGTCAGAGGTCGTATGTTCTTAGCGCTACTTTAAAGGCATTTATTGTTAATGCATGTTTAGTTACCGTGTTAAGCGAGTTATAGGCTGAAGCTGCTCTGTACTTAAATGTTCTCTGTCCAGTTCTGTTTGTGTATTTGGGTTTACGCAGTAGATTTGCTTGTCTTGTGTTGTACTGATGTGTTTGGTGGTTGTACCTCATCATTAAATACTTTAGTCTAGAAACATCTAGAGAGTAAATCCAATCTGTTGTGTTAAAACTTACAGTCCAAGCCTGTTTTAGAATGATGTATGTTCGAATTCCATACCTTGAAATGTTGCTGTAGAAAAGTTGGTCAGAAGGTTGTCGAATAAGCTTAGGGAAACAAGGTTACCGAGATTGGCAAATGAACCATCCTCCAGTCCCTCACTTGTAATTTTGTTGCCCTGAGTTTCAGCAGGAAATAGAAGATTTTTGGTTAAAAGGTATAATAAAATAATCTCTAAGCAGATCTTTGGTTGGCTGCAATGCAGTATCAAATTGGCCAGGCAGTGTCCAATAAGCAGCCAATGGTCAAAGAACCATTGTACTCTCTTTTGTCCCAGAGAATCTGTTGAAGATTATAATTAAGTTTTATATGATATAGTCTTTACAGTTTATCCTTAGACGATCGACAGTCATGTTGTATCGGACTTTTGTGGGTCCGTCAGCCACATTGGTTGGTAGCCCAAGGTAGCTATGCCCGTCGACCTATGCCTAGTGCTTCGGGCACTTATAGGTCATTGAGTTCATTGTAAGGCTGAAAACTCCCTGTAGCGCCTTATGTATTATAATAATAATAATAATAATAATAAAAATGGTTTATTCAAATATTAACATATATACAATACGTACGGACAGTCCCACCTGGCAGCCAGAGGCTGAATTGCATGGGAGCTGTTTCCATGAGTTTCTGTATTCTAAGTCGGTGGGCATAACTGTCTTGAGCTTACAAACAAACTGTCTACCGGACCAGCTCGAGTCTGATACCAAGAGTAGACTTAAAACATACTATGGGCCGTTCCTATGTAATTTTTAAGTAAACAAATTTTGCTATGTCTGTGACCAAACATCACGTACTATTTGATGGGACTATGAGAAAGAAAGTCTTGTTAATAATATATACGTTAACTTACATATAGCCACAGAATCTTCAGTTTTGTGAGCCTGGCGAAATCATCCTTCCTGACAGTGGTGAGACGATTCCACGTGAGGTCCAGTTCCTTAAATAAGGGCGGAAAACAGAAAGATTTTATAAACTGATGTCCTACAAGCATATCCATACTGTATACTCTAGTATAATATAATTTAGACAGGTATTTTTAACACTTTACTGGCTTTCATGAAGGTTCATCTGTGTTGGTAGCTACATGTTTAAAGTTAAAATTTTAGATCCAACACAAAGAAGTTATCTCACCTAGCGCTTTCGACCAGTCACTCTGGTCTTCTTAAGCACACTGACCCAATGAGAAAGACCAGACTGACTGGCCAAAAGCCCTAGGTGAAGGAACTTCATTGTGTTGGATCTAAAGTTTTCAAACAAATGAGGCTTTCTTCTCACCTCCAGTCCTGTGTTGTCTGTTCTATCGTCAGGAGCCAGACCGATAAAAGTGGATGCGGAGATGCTCTGTAGCGTGTTGTTGAACAGTGAAAGCGTGTGTAGTTTGACCAGATTGCGAAACGCACCGTCTTCTACATAGGTGATGTTGTTACCATCCATGTACAGTGCCGTCAGATTGAACAATCTAGAGAATGTTGTCTGTATGATTTTGGAGATACTGTTAGATATGAGATCAAGAAACTCCAGCGCTATGGCACCATTGAAGACCATATCTGGTAGATTCTGTATCTTATTGTCAGCCAAAACAAGACGCTTCAATGAGGATAGTCCCATAAATGTCTCGTTGGTCAGCCGAAGGATCTGGTTGGAATGCAGGTAGAGGACGCGTAACTTCTTGAGACCACTGAAGCTCCCATCTTCAATCGTTGGGATGTTGTTGGACGATAAGTTGAGCTCCGTAAGCCATGGGACTCCAGTGAACATACTGGTCGCTATCGATGTGGGTTTGTTTCTCTGTAAGTCCAGAATTTCCAAACTACTTGGACTATCAATCCCTGCAAACGCTTCTACAGTTTCGATGTTGTTACGATTGAGATACAGTTTCAGAAGTTGGCTTAGTCCACGAAAAGCATCACTGACCACATTGATGATTTTATTCCCTCCAAGCCGAAGAATCTTCAGATTTGGCCGCAGGCGGAAGGGGGATCTTTCAAGCTCGGTGATCGAGTTATCTTCTACGCTCAGTTCTAACAGGTTTGGAAGTCGAGGCCCCAAAGACACAGTTATCATCCGGTTATCGTTCATCAAAAGAGTTTCCGTTGGAGGTTCGTCACGAGGAAGTCTTACCCAAGCTACGTGGCTGCAGTCCATGGTAGTGCCTTTAATGGAATTCATTTTAGTGGAAGTAGGTTAGGAGCACAGTACTGTGCTGATCAGGGAGGGCATATATACCAACTACAACTAGAAACGCAAAGAACTCGTACATCTACAATTAGCTGAGATACGAAAGAAGGCATAGAATATATATATGTGTATCTCTCTCTCTCTCCTCTCTCTCTCTCTCTATATATATATATGTGTGTGTGTGTGTGTGTGTGTGTGTGTGTGTGTGTGTGTGTAACTTCATTTCAACTTATTTATATGCAAAAGCCAAGGATGACTGCCGAAGACAAGCAATTAGATTTTACATTTTACACAGATTATATATATATATATATCTTGGATTTTGCATATAAATAAGTTGAAATGATTATGAAACTTATGAATACCAACAAGACCGATGACACTGACAAAGCCTGTGTAAAGTAATAGACACACAAACGCTGCCTTAAATATAGCCTTCTGGCGAAATTAGTAAATAGATGTACCTTCACAACGGCACTTCATCGAACAGTACTGAGCAGACACCGTACTGAAGACCACAACGAGAACAAGCACAAGTTGCAACAAGCAGGACTTCAAGTTTTCCGCCGTCATGTCCAACTGCCGACAAAAAATGAATAAAGTACCAATATATTTGTCAGTAAGTCCTGACACCCAACGAGATGGAATTAATGAACATAATTAGTGTGCGATTTGTGTATCTTGCACATAAGTCTCTTCCAGAACCTCAGAAGCCTTTCTTAACTTTTAAAAACATTAAGACATTTTCTTGATTTGTTTCGTGAATCAGATGACACTAATGGCAAAACATCAATTTGTTATATATTCTAAAACAAAATAAAAACAAAACTTACTTAAACCTCCCCTCCCCTGTTTACAAAATGGCCGCCTACCCTTCAGAATCTTCAATCACATTGATCGTGAAAGATTACAACAACCTGCCTTATATTAAAGACCACATAACAGGCATCAGTATACAAACGGCTTGGCGCTAGTACTGTGTGTAATTTCTGTCCTACCTTGAGTTGTAACGTCTTATGAAGGGTTGACAATTGAATCAGCTGGAATATTTGCCTCCCAGCTAAGTACAGACATTCAGTGTGAACATTTCATGCATGTGATTGGGTTCGTAGTAACGTTGATACACATCAAGCTAGAGATTGAGGAAACAAGACGTTGCTGTGATGAAGATCAAATCTGACCTTTCCTCCTTCCAAAAGGTAATTTTTTGTCCTTCAGGCCCTGTGCAGACACTGAGGTCGAGTTCGCTCCGGGCTAGGTAAAGGACAAGCGACGTGCTGCATTTTGGGTAAAATGTCAAAGTTGAAGGTCCCTGAGACAACCAAAACACGCCGGGACGTATTTCATTTCATTTCATTTATTTCGAAACCTTTTAGCCCCGAAGGGCTAATCTTCCAAGGCTCAAACAAATAACATTACATTAACATAACATTATATTAAGTATAGCCAAGACTAAAACAGACTTACCAGAGAAGGGCCTTAACCTTTGACCTCGCGCATGCGCAGTTGGAACCCTTGACATGCTTAATATTAATTTTATCAGGCTGGTACAACCATTATTTTCACACGGATACATTTGTGCTGCCAATTTACGCGAAGTAAGGAAACTTCTTAAATGTACGAAAACAGGTGTGCAATGTTGATATAATAGTTTCATTTTATTTTAGAAAACACCACCACAAAAGCTGTTATTATGTGCACGTGTCTAAACGTGGCATAAGAATATATAAATGAATTGTCGAAATTTTAATCTGTCTTGTTGAATAACGTATCCTGCCAAAACAGCATCTTTGAATCAGAAAGGTTAAAATGTCTCAAACATACGGCTTAATTTATCCATTAAAGTATTCAATGCTATGTAATAATTTTATTTTATTTGACGTAATAACACCACCACTAAAGTTGTTATTGTGGCTTTTTGGTCTATATGATGACGTCTTATACGTGTAGAAATATTTCAAGAGTTTCAGTATCTGCATTTCCGTATCTGTATAACCGGTATACAGACCGGTTATTCTGCGTCTACGCGACTGTAGACACAGAACACAGTGAATGATGATGATGATGATGATGATAACCGGTATAACTACCCTTCGGCGTAACATGTCAGCTAAGTTACCGAAAGCACAAGGGTTATAAATGTATAATACACGTATATTGTAGTTAGCTTCTCGTTTGGAACATCTGTCAAGTTTTAATTAGCATAACATTACACCTAAATACGAAAGATAAAATGAGATATACATCGTGAAAACAAAATACAATATGGCAATTCCCGTAATAATAATCAATCAGCACAGATATCGTCATACAAATTTTAAAAGGTCAGCAAAGTTTTTAAAGTTTTAAAACTTATATAGATGTTTTATATACAGTCGGGCGAGAGAAAGAGATGAATGGTGCCACGGCCGGTTGCTTCATTCTTTTCCTTCTCTCTTCTTTTTTCTCCCCTTAGGCCTTATGGCCTTATTTGGCCACAGCAAGGAAATTTTATGGATGACATCCTCCACAGACTTAAAATCGAAAGCGAGCGGGCGAAAAAAAAACAAGGCGGGCGGAAAAAAACAAAGTTCCTACATTTCAAAATTTGGACTCAATAATCGTACAGATTCTTTTGATTCAGTGGGAACATCACATATACACAACCACTATCACATATCACTGCATCAAAGTAAGAAAAAAACATTAAATCAGAGCCTTTTCTTGTCTCCTCTCTTCATACTTATCTGCCATCCACCTTCCGGCATGGCAGCAGACATCTTTGCCCATTTTCGGCATGGTGACCACTGTCAGAAGGGAACAAAATTTCTTTTTTTTTTCTCTCCAAAATCAGGCGAAAATTAATGCGCGCGCTGATGTCATCCATAAAAATTACTTGTTGTGGCGTAAACGACAATTAGTGGTTAATCAACACAGCTATAAATATTGTAAATTCAGCAAAGTGTTTTCATAGTTTTACTGCATCTCTTGTGGAGGCAAACGGACTGTGCCAAATCTTCCTTCCCTCAAGGAAAGGAGGGAGTTGGCGGCCATTACCCTACTAAAGAACATGATGAAACCAGAACATCCACTTCACGAACTAGTTCCACCTCAGAGACTGGCATCCACGGGGCGTAAACTGAGAAACCACGACAACATCAGCCTTCCCTTGGCCAGAACAGAGCGGCTCAGAAAATTATTTTTGTACACCGCTGTCAGACTGTACAATGAGACTCTGTAATAATCTGTTATTTCGTGCCCATTTCAAGTAAAGACTATTGTATCCAAATGAATGTTTTTTTTAATGCCATTCTTTTAGAATTGTTTCTAACTCGCTTAAATGTCGCAGCTACAAAATATATCTATTTTAAAGATTATGAATGATGAAAAATGTTTTAAAATGTACAAATACTGCGAATTTTAGTATTTGAAGTTAGAATGTTGTAAGTAATAATTTTAATTTAACGTATTTTTCGAAATGTAATAAGAGTCTAACAATTGTAACGTGTTCGCTACTTGTGTACAGACCTCACAATTCAGCCGTGAGGCTGCGATGGATTTTGGTTTTCAATAAACAAGAAAGGCTCAAATTTATCGATTAAGCGATAACATTGATGTAAACGTCTTCCTTTGCGGATGACCATCTTGCCATTGCTCCATCCAGGCCGTCGTCGTTGACTCTCGTGTAGATGTTTTCGTTGGCGCTGTCCGCCGTGTAGACGGGGTTGTTGAAGGAGCTCGAGGAGGGCCTTCGGTTGTCACGTGGAACGGGAATGGGTGCGTCGTGATGAGGCTCATTTGCTGCACACAGATACAAAACGATTTGATTTGATTTATTGAAATTGCAAATACATAACGAAAGTTTATTGCAAATACATGCCCGTGGGCTAATTGCAGTTACAAACAACTTAGAAAGAAAATACAATGGTATGTGGACAATATCTACGTCTAGCATTGTACTAAATTCTACAACATACATGGTACTAGTTTTACTGGGTTTGACGTCTTCTTTTTAGGCAATGGAAGACGAATTTACCCACTTCTTCTATAATATGTGGGTTCTTTGATTTTACTCGTGGGCCACAGGCAGCGGGGGCTGGTGTTGTGGCCCACACACAAGGCAAGCATGAACACACGAACAAGATACACATTTAGGCATAAACAATGTAAGTAAATGAAATCACCATATCAAGAATCAACATAGATTAGAATATATCAACCTATTAATAATATCTATCAGTCCATTTACCACTCCAGTACAGTTCATGCGGTTCCTAGCCGCCAGAATGTTCTCGTGTCTGGGGCCACGTCTCCGGGTCGACTGGTGCTTCTGCTGTGTGAGCAGGTGGGCCTGACACATGTTCTTAAATACACTAACGCTACGGGCCTCTTTAACAGGCTACAGGTCTCTTTATCTTCCAGGAGGTGGATATAGTTTAATGCGTTCCGTCATAGAATGTATTATTGACATACGATTACATGATAAAACTTTTACACCATGGTTTACGTTTCATACATTTCCTGCAACCACATTCTTGAATCTCGGGCATACTGGGTCAAAACCCTGTCAATTCAAGTGAAACCAGATCGCCACCTACTCCCTTTGGAACCGAAACATACAAACCAAGCACGAATTAGCGCCACCCAAAACAATACTCCCATCCAGAAAATAGAAAATGTTATACGAAACCCCCCAAAACAATGGCCATAGCGCGACCAGAAGAAGAGATATATCAGAACCGAAAGTTTTGCTGCAATACCACAGAGAACCGCTAGGGGGACCATAATCGTTTTGCCGACACTCAACCAAATATAATACTAACAGACAAACAAACCTGCTGAATTAAGGACGTCCCCAGCTTTGCCAAAACCCAGATATGAGCTGGTGATTCCATCCGCCCCTGGCTCCTCTTCGAATCCTGCGTTTTGGTACTGGTTCTCCCGATTAGGGCGTACCTGGGGATCATTGTCGTTGTAGGGCGGGTCCTCAATCGTGCCAACTGCACCGGTTGTGCTGTGATTGGCTTCCTGCAATTGAAAAAAAAAGAAACTTGTCGGTATCTTGGATTTGCAGATGATCTCTATAAGGCCTAAAACCCTGCTATTAGACTTTTAGAGGCTCCATAGAGCACTAAACAGCCAGAGTGTGAATTTCTGTTGCACACAGACTAGGAAAAATCTTTAGTTATTGCAATAAAAAGGAAATACCTGGCGTTGAGGACGTTCAGGGGTGTGGCCAGCATCTTGCTCTGTAGAGAAGGGCCCTCTCTTCTTCAGGACAATGACGATTGCCGCTACTAGGCAGAGGATGACGAGCAGCAAAGGGATGCCTACGGCCAAGCCGACTATTGTTGTAGATCTCATCTTCGTTGTAAAATGCACACAGTGGTCCAGTCCTGGCTTTCTAGGCGCATTCTTGCAAAGAACGGCCACACAGGCTTGGTAGGGCGTGTTGGGAAGAAGGTCGAATATGGCGAAGTTACGGCCATTGGGGTGAATGTCTTGTGTATTCGTCCACGACTTCTGCCCAAAAACCATTTGGTACTCAATAATGAATCCTGTCAGGTCCAAATTAATGGATTTACCGTCGTGAAACCATGAGATTTCAGCACGGGATTCCTGTACGTTTTGCACGGTGACGTCCGTTGGGGCGGTGCATGTTCCTGGCTGTCGTGTTGTAAAGGACGACGAAGTTGGTGTTGTTGAGCTTGGTGTGGTTACAGGACGTGGAGATGTCATTACTTCAGTCGTAAGAGATGTTGGACTGTGTAGAAGATGAAGTAGTATATGTACTAAGAGAATGACAGCAAAGACCATCATTAACGCCACCCAAAACAGAACTTCCGTCCCGGAAGTAAAAACTAGTGAACACTTACCAGGTCTGCACAGTACATTCCGTGGGCGGTGGGTCGGTTGTCGTTGGGCACGACATCTGCAAGTCTTCCTCTCGAAGGTTGCTGAGAGGACGTCCCTTCAACCGCTCTGGATTGTAGCAGGCCACTGGCTGTGACGAAGTGACATATCGCTCAGCCTTCACATCTGCATACAAAAGAAACAAGAACTGCAATAAAACTATTGCCTTGGCGACGGATGCTTAGTATTGATTTTTTTCTAAATGTATGTTTGAATTGACTTATTGAAGAGCAAAAACAGTAAGGTTGTACATGGAAGTACCTGTTTTATTCAGCCATTTCGCTAGATCAAGTATTTCACAATCGCAGGTAAGACAGTTCCCAAATGTCACAGTTTGGAGGCAGGGTAAGTGGCGAAACACACCTGTGGGAAAAATATACGTCCCCCAGCCCCCACAAAATAATTATGCAAGAACAGACAAGGAGAATGGTGGAAAGCATTAGAAAATGGCACGAAGCTTTAGCAATTGTAAGTAATTTCACAAAGTACAATTTTACAAGATTTTACTCTGTCGCTCTCTCTCGACATATATATCTATATGTCTATCTATCTGTCTATCTCTCTATCTATCTATCTATCTATCTATCTATATATATATATATAGAGAGAGAGAGAGAGATAGGTAGATTGATTGGTAGATTGATAGATATAGATTTGACGAACGACAAAACACATTAGAGACAATTCCAGGCATATACAGACAACTGTAAACTCATACGCGGTGACAAGCTCGTTACTCCGGCAATATCCAGATATTGCACTGCCGTCAGGTTGCCGAAAGCATCAGGATGTAAGGCAGCGCTATCGAAAGGGTTCCTGCAGTTGAAAACGCAATACTTAATTTTTCTTTCCTTTGTCCATCGTCAAAGATGAGACGTACAAAAATCTATAACAGTATTAATAAATAGATAACCAGTATCAATAGTTTATCGACAAATAACTAAGACTCTGCATGAAAACTGGATGTAGTGCATGTCTCTAGTATAGAAGTCTCTGGGCTGAATATGAACATTACAGTTCCTAAAATGCAGCTCCGATATAAATGTATTCAAGACAACACTCACTGAATTGAATTAAAATTAGGAAGACATAGTAGAAGGTGCTCTCTCCACAATAGAACAAAACCGTAAAGGTGTCTCCATAAGCGTAAGAATGAAATTATGTAAACCTTCTAAATGAGAGATACATGTACCTCGGAATTAAAAGCGTTGTTAGAGTTGGTAGATTGGCGAACGCAAACGCGTTGAAGCTTTGGAACTGATTTCCTCCAAGTAGCAACGTTTGCAAAGCCGTCAACCCTGAAAAAAAGATTTTGTTACAATTATTAAAATCGTTTGCGTCAATGTAATGTACCAATCTAATCAGATACTTGGGGGTGTAACAGTGTCAAATTTTATACCGCCTGGCCTAATGGATCCTGTGTATCAGACACTACCATAAGTGTGCATAACTTCCAAACACCCAATATCTGCTTTGAGATTAGCAGTAAAGAAGATCGTTATGTTTTATACATATACTGACCATGTAGACAGCATTGGCGTATTCGTTATTTTACCAAGGTTTATGTTTCATACCATGATTACACACTACACATTCCTAGCGACCTCATAACACATTACCATCTGAGGACAGATAGTCCTTGTTATCAATGTACGGTGACGGTATAGATATGATATATGCTGTGTGTACCTTGAAATGTTGCTGCAGAAATGTTCGTCAGACGGTTGCCATATAGACTAAGGAAGACAAGGTTGCCGAGATTGGCGAATGAACCATCTTCCAGTCTTTCACTTGTAATTTTATTGTCCTGTTGTAAACATAATATAAGCTTTTGAAATGCTTAAGCAGCTGTTCAATTTCTTAGCATTAAATATTTACTTCGTTGGACAAGCCGTATACGACAGTAGTGCATGAAGAAAACGTTAAAGTTGTTACTTTTCCTTTTATTCATGCTGTAGCACATATGTTAAGCCAAATGAATGTAGTTTGTTACGTTTGATTCACGCAGCAAAGACAAGCTTACTGCGTATTAAATTAACCCTACCTAGACCGGGGGGGGGGGGCTAAAAGTGCCCGCTGCAACTTTGATGTCACCTAGCGTCTGAACGACTAGCCGTAGAACGACCAAACTTGGTGACTTTTCCTAAAATATTGTTGGCAACAATTCTCTATCATTGGAATAAGATAATAATTTTTTGTGTTGCCATGGCAACGGGTTTCTGACAGGCATTTTTTGCTAAATTTAGTACTTTTTGTTTCAACAATAGAATTTTATGGGTTTTATGTCAAGTTACTCATGGTTTCTAATATTAATAACATCCCATATAATTTTATGTAAATTTTATCATTAAATATGTATAATTTATGCTAATTTGATGACGTCATTGGCCAAAATCCAAGATGGCGGACCATATCATTAGAACAGGTATATACGGGTTATATTCATTACAATTTCATCAATACTTCCATTTCTTTTTACAAAAAAGGTTTGAATGAAGGTGTTTAGTATGTTTACAATGTATTTTAGGCTTTATCATGAAAAAAAACTATTTTTGAAAATTCAAGATTGATGATCCAAGATGGCGGATATCTTAAATATGCATGACGTCATTTTATGACGTCACCGGTGTTGCTTTGGGCAACATAAGACTTAGTACACACTAATATTCTGTCATAAACACTTTTGGTAAAGTTATGTTGTATACCAGGGAGGTTTTCAGGGAAAAACCTATTAAGACGGTTTTGGCCAATAAAATCACATTAATGACGTCATAATCACGCCATATTACGTCATAACGACATAAAAATTGTAGATATGATAAATTTTTACTAGTA